CTACGGACTTCGTGTGATGGTAACATATCAACGTAGTTTCGCTGGTTGTGACAAATGTACCGCTCAGGTGGGGATGTTGATAGTCGGGAGGTTGTGCGTGTGTGGGATGTGAGATATGTGGGAAATCTCTGTACCTTTCTCTCAGACTTGCTGTGAACCTAAATCTGCTTTAAGAAATAGTCTATACACAAAGCAACAGCACCTTCTCTAGATGCTTTAGTCAGAAATCTAGAGTCCTCCTTGCCTCCACTCTGCCTCCCTCCTCTCGAGCTCACCAGCTCCCCGAGGCTTGCGAATTCCACCATCGGACTTTTCCTCCCTCCCCAGCTTCCAGTCCAGCCCTCACGTTCTCCACAGCAATGGCCTCACCTGCTTCCATCTCTCACCCTCTGAGAAGCAGGACCATCTTCTTACATACATTGCATCATAGCATCGCGCTACACTTAGGATAGAGTTTTAAATTCTTATTCTGGTCTCTCAGCCCCTAACCCTGACCATGACTGTGATCCAAGTTCACCTCCCAGCCTCATGGCCCCACTTACCACGTGGCGGATGCAAGGCCCTTCTCAACCACTCCGAAGTGCCACGATTCAAAGCTTTGGCACACGAAGGCTGCCCTATTTGTGCTTCAAGAATCGCTCTAAAAGCCTCTCCCTCAGAAACTTCTTGCTAACCCCCGCCTGCATCACAGAGTAACTTCTCCCTCTGCTTATTCCTGCTTTTTTTTTTCCTCTTCCCATATACGGAGGCCAAGGCTGCTCCCCAATAAATGCCCGTTAACCTCCACCTCAGAGTTGGGTTTCCAGAGGATCCCACGTGCACGACTGGCAAATAGGGTAAAGTTTGTTTCGGAGGATGAATGATTCTGAGTCTGCCGATTGCAGCCACTCGGCCAAACCAGGCCACTGCCTGTTCTTGGGAATAAAGTTTTATTAGAACATGTCCACACTCACTGATTTATGCATTGTCTGGGGCTGCTTGAGTTGAGCAGTTGCTATGGAAACCATCAGGCTCTTTACCCAAAAAAAAGCTCACAGACCTCAGTTTTAGATCATTAAAGAAAAATCCTATTTGTAAAATAAGGGCTCCTCAAATGTCTTCTGGCTCCTCTAGTAAGAAGTTCTCGTGGGACTGAAGGAGCAGAGCCTAATGCAGATTTTTCTGGTAGGCCTGATGTGTATGCATAGAGTCTGTCATTTTCCCTTGAGTGATGGAAGCCCTTTCTTCAGGACCTAAAGCTGCCTCACTAAACCTGTGTTAGATTAGCGCATCAGAACACTGGCAGACACAGTGGTCACTTTGTGAACCTGCAGGGGGTCCCGTCACTCCTCTCCAGGGAGTCCTCTCCAGCCACGCACATCTTTGATCCCCAGTGATGCTAAGCTCCACTGGGGACTTCTCAGACCAAGGCCACCAGCAGCCCAAACGCTGGCCGGGGCACAGGGCGACAGAGAGCCCATCACTGAACATCAATGTTTGGGGCAAATCAAACAAGTGCATTCGTAAGTCTCTTCTCCAAAAACATCTAACAAACTTCCATGGATGTCTTGGAAACAGGGGAAAGCTTCAGATCTAGGCCACAGATACCAGATGAAACCAGCAATAAGTAACGTACCAAAGTCAATGCTGTTTCAGGCACGCAACAACCAGCAGAGAGAGAACGACTCGGACCAATACTGCACAGCCCACAGAACAGGACAAAGAACGGGATTTCAGGCTGGGAAGGATTTCCGAGCAATAAATTCTAACTGTATACCAAATGACGTGGCTTATTGCATTTAATTAGAAATTCACTGTGTACATCACTCTCCTGATAGATTCTGGCCACCAGAGACTACTATTACTCCATACATCCACGCGTGGTCTTCAAACATTCCCAATGTGGTGACCGTGGAGACAGGGCCCACCCCCGAGAGAGCCCCCACCAATCAAACTGTTCTGCTTAGAGCCGTCACTCAGAGGGTACCGCTGGAGCCAAGTGCGCGGGACCGTTCTCAGCTCTGGCACTGAATGGCCATGTGGGCTCAAGGAGATCATTTCATCTTCAAGCCTCATTTGTCTTAGCTGCAAAGTAGGGATAATGATACTGTCTTTACAGAAGGGAGGATTCTGAGTAATGGACACGACCGATGTCAGCCAGGGCCTGGCATCTAGGACCTGCGCCATCTCTGCTGGGGTCATTGGCAAGATGAGTGCCAAAGACGATGCGACCCTTCCTCGGAGCAGGCCAGGGAGCTGAACAATGCCGGTCTGGCGGGTGCTGGCAGCAGGTGTACCCAGAGTGGAGACACAAAGAATGAACATATGGGGACTGAGAAGGGCAAAGGAGGAAGCAATTGCTCAGTCTCTAGAAAGAAAACAGGTCCCTGTGTGTCAGTTAGAACGCGACACAGTAGACGTGACCGAGGTAGACACGGTCTATCTAACCTGCACCAACTGTTTGCAAGTCTCCCCTCTTCCCTCACCTTAGTAACCTTCCTGCATGCATGTCCATTCTAGAATACAATGTATAGGACTTCCTGCCTGGTGACCTAACGACTAGAACTGAAACTGCCTTGCCTCTGTTTGTAGAATCTTCCAGACTGCACCTCCCTTGTGGCTGAATGTCAGCAAGGCAGCTAGAGAGGCTGCTGCTCATGCAGGATTTGGGGATCCTTCAGATAAAAAGAATCAAATTCAGTAATAATGAAATATGAAGACGGCTAATAGCATGTGTAACCACAGGAGGCTGTCAAGAATGTCTCCCACAAGATCCCAGTGCCAGACAGGAAACACAAACAGCTCCTCGGAGTTTTAATGAGCACGACCCCTTCCAGAAAGTACTTGCAATAAGGCTAAGAGCGCTGTGGCAGGACGGAAGGTCAGCAAGCTCACCCTCAGAGTGCTGGGTAGGTTAGCCCAGGACAGTCTGTGGTGGTCAGACCCCAGGAGTTGTGCTTAGAAATCTCAGGCAAGAATTCAGTAGTGTGGACACAAAGGGCGTTTTTGTCACTGGGAAGAAATACATCTCATTGCCCATGAGTTTCTAAGTGAGAAGGTCTGAAAGTCCGGGGAGGGCTGTGTGAGTGAGTGTGTGTACGAACGCATCTGAGGCGTGTGCCCAAAATGGTGAGTTCCAGCTTTCCGTGGTCTTGAGCTTGACGACTGAGGACCCACAGCCACATGGACACTCTCCCTCACAGATTCACCTCAGGCAAACAGAGCAGAGCTTTTTTCAAGCTAGAGAGAACCTTCGAGAACACCAAACACACCCGTTCTCTAGCCACCCAGATGAGGAAACAGGCTCCAAGAATTAGGGTTGGCTTGTCCACATTCACTGCATGAGAAAATCATGCATCAGCAACTCTCAAAAAGGTGGCCTGGCCTTGGTGAATATCTTTCCTCAAGTGGTAGAAGGACCCACACGATTCAGAACCACTCGAATCCTCCTCATGCAATCCTTGGGATCTGGAGTGATTCTGAGGGAAGTCAGCCCATGGGAAGTAGAATGAATTCAGTACTCTGCCTAAGAACACCAGTTACATGGCCAGTCGTTCCACAAAATCAAAATCAAGTATATTCTCTGCACCAAAGCCAAAATAAGTTAGGATGGGGTGGGGGGGTTTCTCTGCTCATCTTCCTCTCCTCTGAAATCAATGTCTGGGACCCGACTCTAGTGACTTTTAAAGATCCTTTCGTCAAAGTGCCATAAATCCAAATGATTATTTCACACCATGGAACCCAACATGAAGATGAGGATACGCTTCGGTGGGGGTAGGGGTGGTAGGTATACAACAATGAAGGTTGTACATTTCCAGAATCTTCATCGACGAGGAAGAGAGAGTGGCGGACTTGAGCGATTTCTTAAAAATACTAGACTGAGGCCCATCTTTGCAACACTGATAAGGGCTCACGTCCTCCTTTTTTGCAATAAGTCTTGCAGGACTCAGAGGCATTTCAATGGTCTAATCAACCTGAAAGCCATGTCAAATTGCCTTAAAAATCTCTATGCATTCAATATATACACACTTGTTAAAATTAATTACATCATTGACCATTTCTACATACATTATAGCTTAAAATGTTTTACAGTCATTTTTATTAATTAATAAAGCCTTAATGGACAAAAATTACACTATGAAATTACTGTATGTATGCTGCATTTCCAGTTTTACTGCTATTATCTTTAAATATTTCCCCCAAATGGAAAGTCACTAATTCATAAATCACAGTCTCTTCTAGAAAGTAAAACTGAAAACTGGAAGTTCATACAGAGAAAGGAATCTGGGGTCAGGTTCAGCCCTGTTTCCCTCTTCCTGGTCTCCTAAGAAAGGTAAAGGGTGCCCAGGGCTGCTCACCCTGGGACGTCTGCCTTGTCCTGGCAATGACAAAAACAGCAACAAATTCTAGCCCAGACGCCCCCAGAAAACTGCTGTTTTGCTTTTTGGCTCTCCCTGCCAACTTGCCTCTTTTTGAAAATGTCCCATAATTACTAACCATCTCCCCCCCCTTACACATAAACTCCATTATACACAATACACAATATTTCTAAGAGCAATCCATAAATGCCAGCTGTTGGAGGGAAAGGTAAAGGAGAGCAGGACTGTGGACCCTTCCAGACACCCAGATGTTCAGACAAGAGACACGAAACCTCTGGGCATGGACAGCACTTTTTCCTCTTCTCCCTGCTTTGGAGCTATATGGGCCTAAAATAACTTCATGTGGGGGCCATAGTTTCCTGCTCATGACATTACAGGGTCTGGAGCTATTGTTGGAAACAAAACTTTGAAGGAAGGTCCCTCAGAATCTATAACAGCATCTGTGAAAACCTAAGGCAGACGTCAACACTGAGCTGCCAATGGCCAACTCAGAGCAGAGCAGAGAAAGGATGCTTCTGAGAACCACCTCTTGGAATAAGTCATGCAGAAGAAACTCACCGTCCACCTTGGCGGGGGGACTCGCACAGATGACCCGCCGGCTGTGGGTATTTGGTGGCCCCACCTCCCGAGATTGTCACTCACCTGCTGTGTAACTCCAGCCAGGAATGTGGATGGAGAGTTGGCTGCCGCCACCACCACCGGTCGTGGTCCTGTGGTCTTCTCTCCCTTTTCTTCCAGTGACCTGGTGAACTGCCGCACTTGAGAATCCTTGCTTTTCCAACAAACGCGAGCCCCTCCAAGGACAGGTGCGGGGCCCCAGATGCACCTGCTCCAAGGATGGGATTTCCTGCAAGAAGCTTCCTTGCAGACCCGGGTTCCAGCGGGGGCCTAGAGGGCTCTGTTTTCCCTCTGGGAGCTTCGGCTCCCGGGCGCCGCTCCGGGGCCCCGCATTAGCCGGGCCGCCTGCGCCATCTGCTGTCGGTCCGTGTGAACTGCACTTGAGGTTGAGTGACAGGACCGACCTGTGCATTTTAGGGCCCGCAAGCTGGGGCTGCTCCACGGGGACGGAGAGGGACCGGTCTAGATAGTAAATGGAATTCAGGCACGGCTGGGTCACCCTGACGTGGACGCAGGAGCTGAACACCAGCGGCCCCTCTCCCGACCGCGCCGCGCCCGGAGGAAAGCTGCTCTCCCGGCTGTCCACATCGGTGATGCAGTACTGGGGACCCCCGCACAGCCGGTGGTCCGTCTCGGGCACCCTCAGCCTCATCACAGAGCCGTTTCCGGAGAAATCCGCGCAGGCGAACGGTCCCTGGTGCCGACGCGGATCGGCACCCCCAGCCGGCGCAGAGGCGTCCCTGAGCGAAGCGCCCTGGGCCCGGCACTCGGGGCACCGCGAGTCCCGCACGGCCTCCCACGCCACGGGGCTGAACGGGGCGCCCACGCGCCTGGCCGTGATGGTGATGGACGCAAAGCCCCTCTGGGGGCCGCTGCCCGGCTTCGCGCTGCGCGGCGGCTCCGAGTCGGGTCCTGGCCCCGTGGCCGGCGTCGGTGTGCCCAGCCCGCCCGAGAGGAGGCCGAACGCGCGGCCAAGGCAGACCCCGGGGCGGCTCCCCCGCGACGGCCGGGCCGGATGCGCGGGCAGCGCCGCCCGGTCCACCTTTGATTTACTCTCATCAATCAGCTGTGAGATGACTAGGGATGAGATCATTTCTGTGTTTTGCGATGCCAGAGCCCCCTGCAAACGGGAAAAGATGGCAGTTACGCAAACAGCCTATGGCAAGGCAGGCAGTCAACTCCCTTTCAAGGGCCAAGAGGACTTCCCAGAACCCTGTTCTCGGCCGAGGCCTTCTACCCCGCACCTGACTCCACCTCCACGTGCTCGGAAGGGCGGGAAACCCGGATCCACCTGGAATCATTCTTCTGACCCAGGGATTGGTTTTCTCGGCTGGGTGTCTATTTTCGGTTTATTTAACGATGTTTGTGTCGATGGGGGCCATCAGATTTCAAAAATCACCTTCACCAGGCCTGGGAGCACCTGAAAACAGGTCCACAGCCTCAAGGGGGAGGGAAGATATAATTCTGGAGCAGGGCTGGGACTTGGGACAAGGGTTTCTGTGGGAGATGAGTTAGCACTGGTGGTGGGGTCAGGGAAGGCCTCTCTGCCTCCGTCCCCAACCCCCTAACACAATTCTCTAACTTTGCTGATTCACAGTGGGGTTCAGTGGCTCCCCATGCCTGCCACTGTGGGGGTCAAATCCCAGGTAGTGGAACACAGGCAATCAAACACCCAAGCTGGACTAGACTAGCACAGCGACCAGGAGAATCAGTATCAGGAAGCAGCTGGACGGGACAGATGTGGTTTGTCTGCCTTTCAACGCTCAGGGGCACAGCCACGGCTTCTGTCCAGTAGAGGGATAGAGGTGTTCCATGCTCCCTTATCAGCAGATCTGTGTCCTAACAGTAAACTGCTAGTGTGTCCAAAACAATGTGCTGAGACTTTTAATAAAGCCTCTGACCAGGTCAGCACCGGGAGGACGAGTCGTTTCCTCTTGGTTTTGTTTTTGTACGTGTATGTGTAAGACACTGCAGGAAGCCACGTGGGCGGCTGAACGGAGAATGCTCCCAGGGTCGCAGGCCCCCATTTTGAAACTCAGTATTCTACGTACTTAAAACGAACTCTTGCCTGAAACAGCGCAAGACTGGAAATAACCCGGGAACCACTCAACCCCCACAGGGATCCCCACCGGGAGCCCACGGGGAGCAGAGCCTTCATGAGAAGCCTGGAGGCTTAACTGGGGCTGGGCAAGGACGCAGGAATTCTCACTCCATAATGGGCCTGAGAACCACCTGGAATGTTAACAACTACAGGTTCCCTGGGCTCCAGGGCTTCTGATCCTGTAGGCCTGTGGCTGGGGCCCCAAACTCTGCGTTTTAACCAAGATCCGGTGATTCCGATGCAGGCGAACCAACGAGCCCACTCTGAAAACCTCCAGCTGCCGGTCTTTCGAAGGAGGGGAAGGGCTTGTGTTTGAAAAGAGACAATCATCGTTCTCTTTTCCTTAGATGTGATGAGAAAGCACAAATTTTTCTTTTCTTCAGAGAAGGATTAGCACTCACTTATGACACTGAGGTCATGCTTTCCTCCACCTGGACATGTGATGGGGGGCCGGCCCATGGGACCTTAGCAGCCAAGGTGCACTGCATTCTGACTCTTAGCCACGGGAAGGTGGTCAGCTTCTCAATTTTTTTTTTCCTGTTTTTCATCAAAATCCCTATCACCTGACACTCGGTGAGATTTTTAAGGTACGTGGGAAGTTGCAAATCCAAAAGATAGCCAGAGACGGGTGAAGAAGAAACAGAGTCGTCTTAAATGTCCCTTCGTCTTATAAAAAAAATCTGACTATCACGGGCTACCCTTTCCCAGGTGGCTAGCGAGTGCTAGGCTCTGCTTGAACCCTCTTTCAAGATGGGGGGGTCTCCCCTTCAGCCTGTCTCATTACACTAACAACGTGGGAGCTTGTAGAACCTCAGCCCGGACCAAGGGCATCAGAAGCCCTGGGGTGGGGCCAGGCATCCCTGTTTTCTCCTCCAGGGTGATTATAGCAGACAGGTGAAGCAGCACCAGGGGCTTCTGAGGCACCTCCCTCTCCTTTCTAGAAGGCACTCTCCACACCTGTGGTTTACAAAGGAGAACAGTGAAATGTGCCTGGCATCTACCCCAGGCAGTTTGACTCGGTACGCAGTCCCTCCCTCGTTAAATTTAGTTCTGATAATAATTTGCCCGTGTATCCTACCAGGTGCATAGTTGAACCTGGTAGGAATTCCTTTGACATAGGTCTTTGAAAGAAAAAGCAAATATTCCTCTTGGAAAGTGTGCTGTGTTGGTCTTATTTTATACTGTATAGTAATGTTTCCCCAAGTTGGGGCCAGTGGCCACTTGCGTAAAAAAAAACCTGGTGCGGGAAGGGTTAAAAATGCAGATTTCTGGACCCTTCTTTCCCCTCCTCTAGACCTAGGGTGAATCAGGATCTCTAGGGATAAGGCCAAGCAGCTCTGTTTTTAACCAGCTTCTGGGTGATTTTCTGCACAGATAGGGAAGAAGGAATGCCAGGCCAGGACTCAGACGTCCTGTAGTCTCTCCCTGAGCACACGCTGGAGGGACGCCCTGCGGCTCCATTGGAGGTTTCAGGCACCATTGTAGGAGGCCCTAGAGGCCCAGAAGGATAGGACAGGGAATCACCCACCATCTCATTACCTTGGGCCTGGCTGGTGTAACGGACTTTGAGTCCATCAAATGCAAACGGATGAAGGAAGAGCAACAAAGACATGAATCTGAACTCAATTCTGAAGCCGGGGAATCACCATACGTCAGGGAGACGTTGTTCCTGAGGGAGGAGATGCTGGTAGAAGCCCAGTCCCGAAGGAAAGTCCGTTTGCCTCCCTACCTTACCAGGAAGTTCTGGAAACCAGAAACAAAGAAGGACGCAAAAGTACCTCTCAAAATATGGACTTGATATGTCACGGCAGGGTATGACTTTTTCTGTGATTTAGCAGAAACCGGAGGATGTCTGGTGGACTCAAACCTCTGGGTGAGTGAGGGAGTACTTACAATGAACACATTTGTGTTTATTTGAATTACACAAATGGAAATGACCTGTTACATACCCAATACGTTGAAATCTTGTCATTGTGAACGGAAGCTTTCGAGATGTAAATTCTGTCATTCTACACAGAGTCGTGATCAACCCATTTATCCATGAAATCACACAGATCTATTGAGCTCCTACTACAGGAAACGGAGGAAACTTCTTGGCCCCACGGAGTTAAATGGGAGAGAACGCCAAGCAGGCAACCAAATTGTCAGGACTGGGATTACTGGTTACATTTTACTGTGGTTTTTTCCCTGAGATGTTTACACTCGGTTTTGGAAAAAGCCCCAACCGACAGACTGAGAGAAATTAAAAAGGAAACACTGTATGCTTTGCTCATCAAAACACTAATCCTACTCTTGTAGGGGAAGTTCTATTGATCAGATCCTATTTTCTCATCAAAATCCATTAAATCATGAAAGATAAATTCCAACCTCTTAAAACTCTGGGCTGCCGGAACAAAGTGCCACGGTCTGGGTGGCTTAAAACCCCTGGGTGACTTAAAAACAGACATTTTATTTTGTCCCAGTTCTGGAGGCCGGATGTCGGAGATCAAGGAGCCGACAGGACTGGCTTCCTCTGAGTCTTCTCCCCGTGGCTTCATATTTTCCTCCCTCAGTGTGTGACCATGTCCTAACGTCCTCCTCTTGTAAGGGCATTGGTCCTACTGGATAAGGCCCACCCTAGTGTCCTCATTTAACCTGAGTGACCTCTTTAAAGATTCTGGCTCAGAACACAGTCACGCTCTGAGGTGCTGGGAGTCAGGACATCCACACACGCATTCGGAGTGGGGGAGACGGTCCACGGCAGACTACAATATAGCACTTTGTGTCCCGCTCTTCTTCTGGGGTTGGGACGCCAAGAAAGAGATGAGACAGAGGATCTATTTGATGTCCCTGACTTGGCCCACTACTTTTAAAGCAGGGCAACTTTTAAAAAAAGGGATCACATCCTTCACATCAAATATCACATCAAATATCTTTCCCAATGAAGCTATTTCAGGATGCCCCTCCATCTGTTCTTTCTATTGGGTTAACTGAACACAGCTTTGGGGGGGGGGGGGGAAGAAAGGTATCTTTCATCTAAAATAAGATTAGCTGATGGAAGATTTGATTTAAAAAGAAAATAATCTTGCATTTAAAGTAGAACATTCAAGGTCAGAGGAAGGTCAAATGAAGAGTGGGATTTTGTGTCTCGCCATGGCAATAAATCACCCATTTCCTGACCATCCTCGTACAGCACTCGCCTATATACATTTTCTTTCTCATAAATGCAACTTTAAGATATTGATTTTTTTTTAAATGTTTCAGACATGATTGTGTGAGGCTGGTAACTGCTTTCCTAGTTTTATGCATTTTATTGATTGTTTTTAACTTTATATTTATGCCTTAAGGTATTTTACTATAAAGGCACCATTTCATAAATTGAAGGAAGAAAGAGATAGGCGGCGGATGGTTGGAGAAATCAGATCCTGAGCCACTGGGATGAGGACGCATCCATTTCTGTAGCAATTTATTTCTCAAAAGGATAAGCATCTAATCCAGCCTGTGGCTTTGAAATCTATATTTTTCTCCACTTGACAATTCTTCCCTTTTCCGTGGTCACTCTGCAGCCCTCAACTATGTTTGCCAGATGATTCCTTGGCCCCATGTCTGCCCAGATCCTCTCTCCAGTCCCCACCACACGAGCTGCAAGCCTGCTCAACTCCTTTTTAGTCCGTCCAGCATCATCACCACTAAGCAATCTGTCAACCTAGTGGCGTTTCATCATGCATGCAAGAGTGCTTTCAAACGTATGAGTTCACTCTGGTACGTAGCACTAGGGGAAGACCGTTTTGAGACTGATGGAAGAATTGGAGCTTTTCTCCATCTCTGTTCTGAAACTTTTGTCTCTTTCCATGCACTTACAAGAAACCAAAGGACTCAGTGCAGTGTAATGCACAACAGTGAAAAGCTGGAAAGAATCCAAATGTCTTTTAAAAGGGGTTCGGGTAAGTAAATCATGGTAGGCACAACTGCATCGTATTCCGTAGAAATTAAAAATAAAGATTACAAAGAATTTAAATGCCATGGGAAATTGCTTGTGATAGAATGTTATGTAATAAAAGAGAGCTATAAAAGTTGATAAACATTATAGTTTTATGTAAAAAAATTGCATGGGAAAAAGAAGGGAACGAAATATATATAAATTTTCTTACTTGTATATTTCTATATTTTCCTAAGTGTCTACATGGAGCTGCCATTACTTTTGTTATCAGGAGAATTTAAACGTTGTTTTTGCAAAGATGAAAACCCTGTTCCATATTTCATCCCTTTTAAATAATCACTTGGTTGAAGAAGAGCCTGCATATCATTTCTACAGCTTCGAAGAGTTTTGAAAGGAAAAGTGATCAATCGTGCACGGGCTTGCACGGAGAGGCGGAGATTTATGGCAGTTACAAACGAAGGGCATCCGTTCCGAGTGCTTCATCATCTTACAGCATCCTTACAACACACACACGGGCACGAGCTTTAAAAGCTCAAAGTTAGGAGGAAAATTTGAAAGTCATAGTACTGATACAATCGAAGTAGATGGTCCAGATCATTCCAAAGCAGAAGTTTAGAAGGTGTGGTTTCTGGGAGTTATTTAATTCAGTCACAGAAAATGACACACACAAAGTGTGTGTGTGTGTGTGTGTGTGTGTGTGTGTGTGT